AAGTTGCTATTTCCAAGCACTGAATGAGTTTGGTTGGATTTTGGTAGTAGTAGTAGTAGTAGTAGTAGTAGTAGTAGTAGTAGTAGTAGTAGTAGTAGTAGTAGTACGAGGAGGAGGAGGAGGAGGAGGAGGAGGAGAAATGTGCTGGAAAGAAAAAGCTAGATGATTAAGGATCATCTAGCAAGGGAAGGTCAAGCTAAAGGAATGGAATGGATCAGATAGATAAGGGAAACAAAGCCAGAAGTAAAAACTAGATGTGGCAACACAGAGCATTAGAAGGTTACAGGGGAGCACTCTTCATTTTGTGCCTACATGATAGTCTGAAGTAGGTTGGGTTGAGAGGACATGACTAGCTTAGAGTCAGCCAGCCAGTTTTCATGGTTAAGAGTGGATGTGAATCTGATTCTTCCCAGGGCTGCTTGCCCCAGAGCAAGGGCAGCCACCTACCATTTTGGAAGGGGAGGATTGAATGATGTCATCCTCAGCCTGTTCCTAGTTTGCTGGGAAGGTACTCATTGTGTCTTCTTGCTCTGCCTCCAAAGTAGTGTTTTTCTCTCTGCACTGGTGCAAACATGGCTTTGCAGGTCCTCATTCTGCCTTTCCTTCCACCTTCCACAAATGCCTCCGTTTCAATTGGCTACTGTGTGCTCTCTTGGGCATCCCTCAACTCCCTCAGTTTACGCTTGGCCAGGCACTTACTACTGGGCTGGTGGCTTATCTCCTACGAAAGGATGGAACTTTGGGATTTTATGTTCAGGGGAGAAACAGTTCAGAAAGAGGATAAAATTGGCAAGAGTTCTTCCACATTTTTCCTTCTAGCTCCATTGGCAGGAAGGACTGTAAAGAATGTTAGATCCTCTTTTCTTTCTTCACCAGTACTCAAAATGCTTGCCCACAGAAGGGAAAGCAAGTAATGCTACTTCCCTGGCTTGGAGGGGAGAGGCAGAGGAGGAGAAGCAGGGGCTGTGGTAACTGTAGTCTGGACAGAATACCTGACTAGCCCTGTGGCCAAATGGGAGGAAGGGACTGGAATCCAGAAAGACTTTCTATTAACTTCATTTCTCAGCTAATTTACATGGAAGATAAGGAATTGAAGGCCGCAGTGCAGAAAAGCCCTATATCCTAGTTCAACATCTTAACCGCTACACCACACCGATTCCCTCATTTTGAATTTGCCTCCCAGTGACTATGTAGATCAGAGATGTCAAACTGCCAGCCTGCGGGCCGAAAATCGCGCCCACCCATTGCCGGCAATGGAAAAAAAGTTGTGATACATCGTGACACGTTACGTAATGTTACGAGTTTGACACCCCTGATGTAGACTCATCCATCTTTACAAATATTTAGAGATCTGATTTGCTATTGCCTTCCAGCCTACTGCTCTGTCATTTCCTGATGTTCCCGTATTCGATTCTAACTAGCTTAGCTTATTGAGATCAGCCAAGGTTGGTTGGAAGTTATAGCCTACCGTAGATACTGTATGTATGAAAGCAAAAATAGAATTAATGACAAGAGTTTCAGTAGAAATGAAATACTTCCCTCTTGGGAAGACTTAGGACAAGGTGACCTAAGTATTGCTATGTAACTCTTACACTTAATGGGTAACTTCAAGCTCCCTGTTCTTTCTTATGTTCTTGAAACTGGACTTTGTTTGAACAACACTTCAAAAGGAGGATGGCACAGATGGAAGATATCCTCTGTAAAGTAGGTCTCCTTGCCATGCCCAAGATAGACCTAGTTAGCATAAACTTTTGCAGAGTAGGAATTTTTTTAATACACCGCACATATCTGAGCCATACACAAAGAACACCTTAAAGACCCAGGAATGTCATTGCAGAGGACCGGTCCTACTTTCCTGCACAGGGTCTTATAAAAAAAATAATGAATAGGTTAAATTCATTGGGTAAATTGTTTAAAGCTGAAATCTTGAAAAGTTTAAGAAAAGACAAGGGGGCAGAGGTTATCCTGCATATTTTATACTAATTTTATATTGATGACTTGTATTTATGTCATTGGAGGTTTAATTATTTGGTCAGTTAATACTTTTATAATGATAGTTATTTCTTATTGAATGTTATTGTTATTACCATTGCATTTATATATTATTATTATTAATATGTGAACCATCACAATACTGTGTCCCCTACTCCTACTCCTAAACTCTCTTGGTGGTCCTGAAGGATGCCATGTTTGATGGTATTGAGAGATCAAAGAGAATCAAAATGGATGAACTATCATCATTGCAGTTCCACCAGAGATCACCAACAAGCACAACTAATGCTGATTCAGTGCTAAGTTTCAGTCTGAAACTTGACTGGAAAGGGTCTAGGTAATCTGTTTTCTCCAGAGCCCTCTGAAGTTGTAGCCTGACTATCTTCTCAACAACTTTCCTCCAAAGGAGAGATTGTGGGAAAATTGTCTAGGAAGAATGTTTGGATCCAATGATAGCTTCTTAAGGAGGCACACAAATGCCTTTTCAAAGCAGGTGAGACCATCCATCCCTCAAGCAGATAATATGGCATGGACCTAACCACACATAAACTTCTGGACATCCTTCATCAGCTGACATGTAAATAGGGGGCAGGTCAGCAGTCCCAAGGACCTTGTCCACTTCCTCTTGAGTTATAGGTTCAAACTCACCCCAGTAAGCACACAAGCATCTTGTTTTAATTATCTCAACAGATTTTCCAGGTGGAGTCCAATTTCCAGGTGGAGTGGATTTGCGTTATTTTAGGCTTGGAATATTCCTTGCAGTAAATATACAAATAACTCTGTGGCATTTCTCTTCCTAGCAAGGAATAAGCCACTTTAAAAAAGTGCTGCTGGATAGCTATTTGTGGATATGATAAGAGTAGAAAAATAGCTACCTTTTACTGCTGTTATTGCCATTTTGTAATCCCTAATAGAGTCTTTTACTATTTTTTGGTTAGATTTACTTCTTTCAATGGCACTCTTCTAGTCTATCATCTCCTGAAGTGCATCAGAAATCTAGTGAGGACCTCAAGATCAACACACAAGGAGCAGCCACCTAGGAACAATAAGCTAAGGTCCTCATCATATGCCCGCTCCAGATTGTGACCAAGTTCTCAATCAAATTGCCTCAAGAACTCTTCCAAGCTTTTGTTAATTACCAAAGGCGGGGTATTCCAAGAGAAAGCTGTTTACATATTTAATAATTAATTAAATGTTTAAACTAAGGACCCAAGGATTAAGTTAACTTAATGCCACAGCAAAACAGGTTATCAGGTGCAATGCATGTCTATATCATACTAGTACAACTGTTTTGTTACCAACTCACAGCTTACACATCTGGAGTAATAGAAGGTCCTGCAGTGTGTGCCAAGAATGGGGCTTGTGCTCATCAGTGTGTTATTTTTTGTGGCACTATCTGCCCTGTGCAATGCCCATTCCCTGTGAAGCACCTTCTATTATATGTTTAGCCTGCTTGTTCAAGTCTATCTTATCACACAGGTCTTCCATCAATAAATGTACAATAAATTTAGGTTTTGTTTTCTTCCTCTGCCTCCTTTTTATTGTACAGATATTTATATGTATTTTAATTGTGTTTCTGTACATCACTCTGAGATCCTTTTGTATAGTTATTGTTGATAATACTACTACTAATTTATTTTCTTCTATTCAGTTGTGTCTAATTCTCAGAGGCTGTTTACACAAGTCCTTACAGTTTTCTTGGCAAGGGTTTTCAGAAGTTGTTTGCCATTGCTTCCTTCCTAGGGCTTAGAGAGAGTGACTGGCCCAAGATTATCCAACTGGCTTTGTGCTCAGTGTGGGGCTAGAATTCACAGTCTTCTGCTTTCTAGCCTGATGCCTTCACCACTACACCAAATTGGCTCTCTCACTAATAATAATAAAGCCAACCAAATATCTACTAAATTAAATTGAGCGATACAAAGATCAATAGGGTCTATACATTTCACATTGTGCTACAAGATTGCAAGTTGACCTTTAAAAGGATTCTAAGTGTGAACAGTTCCTTAAGAGGTACTATAAATAACCTGTAGACAGTTTTTAAAAGGAAATGTGCTACTGAATTTTATCTGGAATACAAATTGTGCTGGAGGTGCTGATTCTTGGTTTAAGGTATGTAAGTTTGTGATTATTTGTAATTAGGCAAATGCATCCTATATTATTTTTTTCCCTCTGAAAAAATCCAAAACCCTTCATGTCAGTAGATTACAAATCCAAGGGATACAGCCAAGAAGAACTATCCTTCTTTAATATACAATGATCAATTTAGAGAACACGAGTCAATAAAAGGATAAGTCTAAACTATATGAATTAACATTCTAGAGTTGCATCTCTAGTAGCAAAGTGATTGCAATCAATTCTTATGAAATATCTTTAAGCAGTAATCTTTTTTAAAGCAATAGTAAACTAATTTCGTATGTTGTAACTCAAACCTTCCATTTTCATATGTTGTAAATCAGGGGTGTCAAACTGGTGGCTCGCGGGCCAGGCCCACCCCAGCTTCACAAAGGGGAAAAAACGTCATGATAGGACATGATATGTCACGTGATGCGATCGAGTTTGACACCTGTGTTGTAAACCAACCCTACCCTGGACCTTCAAGCTCATTAGTCCATAGAGTGCATAAATAACTAGTATTAAATTCATAAAATTTTCTATTAAAAAAGAATAGGCTACTGATAGGAGCAGAAGTAAATTCCCCTAAAATTTCTAATTTCTGTGAAACCTCAGAACAAAAAACATCCCGAATTTTGAATGTGGAGATGTTCTCCGGAACTAGAGAATTTTGGAAGGTGAAGTTCGAAATAAACACTGGCAAAACTTCTGCATGAAAAAAATATTTTAAAAATGCATGCCCTACAGAAATATTGCCCAGTTTTCACTTTGCAAACACGTTTTTTTTTCAATCTTTTGAAGGTTTTGAGTATTTAACAAGCCGAACAATTCAGAAATTCATTAGTAAATTAGGGAGGAAGTAAAAAATGCAAAAAAAAAAAAAGCTCCTTACTTACAGCCAATCAGCATGACGCAAATAGAAAAGATTTTCTCTGAGTTGGTATTTGGAGACACATTTCCAAATCCTACACTGGTCAGGCTGCTGAAGGTAAAATAAAGTGCGGTGACATATTTGTCTTTGATGGACGGTCCTGAGCTGCCATCACTCCGATTGTAATGTTTTCCCAGCTGCTGTCCCAGGGAGTCCAACCAGCCAATTTTGCGAGACAAGTAATGCCTTTCAACATTCCCGATGGCATACCAAATGCAAGCCAGCCAGTGAGCAATGAGTGCAAAGATGCACATCAGTAACATCAAGACAGCCGCACCATACTCTGAGTATCTGTCCAGTTTTCGAGCAACCCTCACTAAACGCAGTAGACGGGCTGTCTTCAGAAGGCCAATGAGGGTTGTTGTCTGCAGAAACAAAAGCCACAGTGCATATTAGGCATGGTTTAAAGTGCTCAGATGCAAAGAGGAGAATAAGAAAAACAGTAAGTATGGTCTCATACCAACAGGTGCCTTTGTAGGTCTTGTGAAGAATGATGCCTACTTAGAAGATTTAAGTCAGGGGTCTTCAAACTGGGCCCTTTTATGACTTGTGGACTTCAACTCCCAGAATTCCTCACGCTGGCTGAGGAATTCTGGGAGTTGAAGTCCACAAGTCATAAAAGGGCCAAGTTTGAAGACCCCTGATTTACGTTCTTAGGAACTCTTTAAGGCAATCTCCATGCACTTTAGTCTGCAGTTTCACGATTAACTTACCAATAAAAAAAACCTCTCATTAAATACATTGAATTTTACTTTGGTACAGAATTACATATGTCTTTTATTTATTAGAATTACTGCTTCTTTCATACAGTACAAAGCCAGCATGCATTAGATTTCTTAAAGATCTAAGAAATGGTTAGACCCAAGCCTACTGTGGGAGTTGCATCAGGCATCTTTCGACCACAATTCAGCACATACTTCATGGACATGTCAGTCAATGATGCAATAACTGCCATTGCATTACTGACCTCTGCAGGCCCCTTTCCCTACTTTTTCTACTTGTTATCAAATACTTGGATCTAGGAAGGGTGCCTTCTCCATAATTTTCTCTGCTCTGTGGAACACCCTTTTTCAGAGACCTGCATTATCTACAGAGCATTATCTCCAGCCATAGTGTAGACTTTAAAAAACGCTCAAGGCAGTCCAGAGAATTAACCATAGTAACTGTCCCATTACAATCTATTGTTTACACTATAATAACTGCAATAAAACAGCTGCCCTTTTCACTGGTGAAAATGAGTCAAAATAAATGGTATATAGTAAATAGTATATTTGGTACAGAGCAAATAGCTGTAAATCTGGAGCACATACTTTATGCTCGGATTTAAATTGCCTCTCTCCTAAGAACCACTGAATTGGATTTAATTTCTAAATGAAATCCATGTTTTGGGGCTTTATGCAAGAGGCATTTAAGGTAGACTTCTTAGGAAGTATCCATGTGAATAAGTATATCTGAAGCTCCCTTATTCTGAGCCAGACATTTGACTGAATAATGTCTGTAATGGTTGGAAGGTTTGTCTATTACAGATCTTTCCAGTCATTTCTTGAAATGCAAGGGATTGAATTGGAATTTTCTGCATTACTACTACTACTACTGCTACTGCTGCTGCTGCTGCTGCTACTACTACTTTAAATGTACATCCTGCCTTTCCCTTGAGTGGTTTATGTGGGGAGTCCCCCCTCACTTTATTTGCTTGCAAACATATTTCTATATTATCGAGTGACAATCTTTTTCTTAAAAGCTTCAAGACCTTTTAGAGAAATGGAATTGAATGGGGAATTATAATCGAATGGAGAGCAAGTTTGGTGAAGTGCTTATAGCATTAGGCTAGAAACCAGGAGATTGTGAGTTCTAGTCCCATCTTAGGCATGAAACTAGCTTAGTAACTTGGGTCATTGACTGTCAGGTGCAAATTTATGTGTGAAGGATTAAAGTTGACTACTTTATTGTATTTTACCGGTCATACAAGAAACTCTCCAGACTGCTTGCCTTCTCTTGGGAACAAACAAATAAGGTCCCATGGAACATAAAGGGGATCATCCCTCAATCTCTTGCAGCTGTGCAATGCCTCATTGGGAAGAAAGTTGACCAGCTCTTCATTATTGCTCTCCATACAAGGAGAGGACTTGAGATCACCCACAATTGCTCCAGACCAGGGGTAGGCAACCTTGGATCTTTTATGACTCATGGACTTCAACTCCCAGAATCCCTGAGCCAGCCATGCTGAGGGGAAAGGGAGAGGTTTCCATGCTGAGCCATGCTGGCTTAGGAATTCTGGGAGTTGAAGTCCACGAGTCATAAAAGAGCCAAGGTTGCCTACCCCTGCTTCAGACAGTTGATCCTTGCGAGGAGACACAAAACAGCAGTCTCCAGGGGGTTCAGAGTTCTGGGAGACCAGGAAAAAAAGCCATCTTTCTCAAGCCATTGGACACAGGATCCACATATTTTCTTTTTAAATCGCTCTCAGAAATTGCCTATTGTTTGTTGTTGTTGTTATTGTTATTATTAGGAACTCTTGGATCAACAAATCTGAAAACTGGCTGAATTTCTTCAATCTTTAGTGAAACGAGTTTTAAATACAGTTTTGATTTAAAAAATTTTTTTTTTGAAATAAGCAGAAAACAGGTGATTAGAACTTTGATTTTAGAAAGTTACAAATTGACTAAGAGTTCAGATGGATTTGAAATAAGATTTTAGAATTTATGTTAAGAAGCCTTCCTATGAGAAAATGCTTTTGTTTTGAATTATTTTGGGGAAAAAAGGCATAATAGGTTGAGACATTGAAAGTTGGACAATTGAGGGAACCAGAAGGAATGAATGATTATATTAATGGAGAACAACACTTAAATTTGACTTACTAATACAAAATGAAGCAAAGTATTTTAATATTGGATGTACTGAAGGATGTATTTGAACAATTAACAATAGTTAATTTTAAGAGTGTCTCGCTTTACAGATAGACAGTGTTTAAAAGACGTTACAGAAGAGAAACGTGTTTTATCTAACAAGATTGGGGCTGAGCTGAAAGTGGATTTAAAAAGAACACTCTTAATAATTAAACTTATTAAATTACTTTACTTAAATTATTTAAGAATTAAATTCTTAATAATTAAAAGGGATATACAAGTGATAAACCAAGACAGTGACCTGGATAATTTTCCTATATGGGATTTACAAAAGCGGCTTGTTAAAGCTTTGAAGAATTTTATGAGAAGAGAAAAGAAAAAATGAAAAGAAATCAAGTTCTGTTACATTATTTGAAGGGATTGAAGATCAAGAATATTAAAAGCAAAAGGGAGGAATATAAATTTGGTTTATTTGATAAATGTTAAAATACATATCTTTGGTAACCCTTAATGGATTTTTCCCTGAAATCAGGACTGAAATGACAAGGCTTTATGAATTTGTTTATAAATAAAAGATGGGATATGGGAAGAAGAGAATATTTGTTATATTTTAAGAGAAGGTGATAAGTTACTAAAATTGTTTATTCTTGTGATGAAGGAGGATGTCATTTATTTATATATTTCTTTTGCTTTTCTTTACTATATTCTAATTTTTCTTTCTTTTCTATTTTATCTTTCTATTTTTTCTTTTCTCCACCTTCTATTTTTTTCCTGTTTTTGTCTGCACTAGTTTTTATCTTTACAGTTGTAATTTTTAATAAAATTTACTATTAAAAAGTGGTTTTGCATGTGTGTAGCTTCCCATGACTATCCCTTCTATTTTCAAGATGGCATATATAATGCATAAAATTTAACAGCTGAAAACATGTACAGTTTTAATGGGACAAGCCATTTCATCCCCCTAAGTGCAATTATAATGTTTTATTAAAACTTTGCATTTTTTATACATAGATCATAGGAGCAATAATTTGGAAATAAGAAAAAAGTGTTCCCTTCTTTTAAAATAACTTGAACATAACATGTTCTATTTATGCCAGTCTTGTAACTTTCTCCCTGCAACAAATGCAAGATGCTAGACCACAGCAGCAATTTATTGTATTATTGCTACATCAGGGCAGTGCCACAAATTAAGAAAAAGGAAGTGAAGTCAGCATCTGCTGTTGAAAAATGTTGCTATGTTTCATTTAGGTTTTTATCCTCCAGGGCTTCCCAAACCTGAGAAAATTACCCAGAACTGGGTAAAAGTGTTTTTATTTTGGGTAAGGACACATGTACCAATTACAACAGGGACATTTAAATTGACTTAAAGACAGCCTCGTGAACTAAAATATATTTTAAAATTTCCCAAGTATTCCTATAAGACAAAAAAATGGGTGAAATTGCCAACAATAATTTATTGATATGACATAAACATCATTCAGTAATGTTGTTTTATAATATAGGTAGTCTTTGAATTAATACCATTTGATTCAGTGACTGTTCAAAATTATGATCGTTCTAAAGTAAGGGACTGATGGCGGGTCCTTCAAGTTTGATAAGACTTTCTGATAAGTGGTTTTGAGTAATGAAAGAAAAAGTTTGAGAAGGACTGTCCTAGATCCTATACATGAATACATTAGGGAGCATCCTTCACAAAGGTATAATTAGGAAGATAATTTTTATAAGGATCAAAAGCTGTAAACACCCAGCATTTGTTCACTGCTAAGTCATTCCTTCTAAGAAATCCATTACAAGTTTCTGACTGAATGAAATTGCATGATTCTTCCAAAAAGACTTTGTCATGGCAATGATGGACACCGATGCATAGAATTCATAGTGAGGAGGTTCCCCCTATGAGTAATTGAGATGAGAGGGAGAAGATGCCATTATAAATTACAAGTAAAGCTGAGGGAAAGAGAGTTGAGAGAGAGAGAGAGAGAAAAAAGATAGGTAGGTTAAGACTTGATATATTTATTGATATATTTTTTACATAATTCTGTACCTAATGTATTTGGAAATGCATACCAGTTTTGTCAGTATTCTCACTTGTATATATTATTAGATCAAGCTATTGGCTCTGGATGTGTCTATATTGGAACCTATCCTGACCCTTTCTTCAATAAGCTTGCTTCTATTTTATTACTAAGTACTATATAATAGAGTTTTAAACCAGGGATTGCATTTAAGTGTTGTTTTTATCTTTTGTAAAAAAAAGTTGGAAGTCACTTTCTTTTCATATGTTTTTTCTATAGTTTCTGTTTCCTGCACTATCCCATACCTTTCTTTTTATTCTTTCCCTCTATTTATTCCTCTTTCTGACCATTTACTAATATTTATTAGTTTTTATCTTCATGTTCTATGAAAACTGATTAAAAAAAACCCAGAAATAAAATACATCTCCTTTCACTGTCTGCCTGCTTACCTTCTTGCTTATGGGCAACTTTTCCCTTCTTATAGATCTTAATCTTTACATCAACACT